TGGATTGAAACGCCCAGATTTGCTGCCGCGAATCGTCAAGCGTGGGGAGTTATAGTCCGCGACATTGAGGTTGGATAGAGGGGCATGATCTTAGCCGTACCGAGTACAAGATGGCAAACAATCAATAAATACTACTGATAATGATAAGGGGTACCGGAATGATTTTTTTTATTTGCCGTCATCAGCCACTGATACCTGGACCAAAAATGTAGAACCCAATCAGTCGGTCAGCGGGCATTCCTTAAGCAAAATGCACTCCCTATAATTGCAAGCCCACATCTTACAGATGGAGATCAAAAATATTCAAAGTATTAGTAAACATATAAATTTTTAGGATTGTGATGGAAATATTGACCGAAAATACTGTAACATGAGGCCTCGACGCCTGGCGAAGAAACTAGGGAAATAAGGGCACTATAGTCGTTTATTTGCGCACACCAGTCCCTGTCTATATTCTAAACGAAACCTTTGAGAGAAAGCCCAGAAGTGAGAAAATACTATTGAGGTGCATCGCCTCAAGATATATGTGCGATCAAATCATCATAATAATGATATGTGGAGTCGCCATTAATAGCAGCGCTCTTTATCTGACCTATTTCGTAATAACCAATGATCCGTCAATCTCCTTATGCCGAAAAATCCGCAGTGCTTACAGAAATAAGCGAGTTGCATTGTATGCAACAACTATTAGGAAATAGGCTCATAACTAGGGAGCTGGACGTTTGTGCCCAGCACTGAGACCTACTCTCCTGCCAGCTGTTCCCTTACAGTGTAGAGGCGGAATCAATTTTAGTGTCTCTTACTTCGAAGTAGAGAGGATCTGTCACCAGAGGGCATGCAAAGAGGATGACAAACACGTTGACTGCTCGCTGTTGCATGTCCGCCTCCTGACTCAGGGGGTCAGGATTCTCCAGTAGCAACGAGGCCGGCGGATTTGAATTGAATGTTATTCGGAGTTTGGTGAGGACAAAGCGTGGTATAGTCTTGCTCAGCAGGGCAATTATATCAGCCTCCTGGGGTAGGTCAAGCAGGAGCTTGTAGGCTTTTTGCACCTCGATAATATTCACGGGTACTGCCTTTGGGCCGACTTTGAGCAGTCTGGCAGATTTGTCACCGACATGTGGAGCAGGAGAGTCTTCGGGTTCTGGTGCCACTGAACGAAAAAAAACAATCGGAAAGCAGAGTAAACGCCGTATAAAGTAACAAACAGACCACAACACAAAGTCCCATAGCGACGGTAAAACGCAGTTCACAACCCAGGGCAGTCAACTGCACATAGGCAGGTAAAAAATATACTCCTCATTTGTCGGTGCTGCAAGCACTGCCTGAGGTCGCAAACTCTGTGTTAATAAGTGGTCGCACTCTGTGGAAATTCTAGGCGACAATGAGTGGGGGCGTTTATAAATCGATAGTAAAGTGTGGCCAGCGACGTCCTCCGTCTGCGTGAGTCAGAAGACCTAAAAGAGCTACTTGTCAGTTCCCGCAGCAATTGGTGGCCTGTCCCACACTTTACATTCCTTCTGCTCGACAATGTGTCTGGTTTCCACATAATTACGAAGACAATGGTGTTTCCTACGCACTCTGAAGATAATCGGACCTGGTGTGATTGTGCGCAAACCGGCTTCTGCAGTCTGCTGCGACTACAGAAATCCACGTGATTGTCTATATCCACTAAGTGGAGAACGAGATAAAGACTTCCGGCAGATGAACACTGCCGGCAAAGACAATGGAGACTGGAATGGTCACTTCTGGCGCATTAGCAGGCCATCAGCCAGTCATACCGAACCCTGGCTGAGAGACCATTCAAGGCTCAAACGGTCTAAACATTCAGCTATGGGCGTATTGTCTTACCGGTTTAGATCGGGCAGCTAACGAGCGAGTGGTCGCCCACTTGGGATTGGATATGACTGGCCAATGAGCAAGAAATGGCCATTCCAGTCTTCCTTGTCTCTGCCGACAATGCTTACCTGCCTATACTACTAGTCGCTGTGCGGCTGCAAGCACGGTCCGAAAGTGAGCCCCAAGGCAGAATGGGGCGAGTGAGTTTCGTTAGCGATCAGCGAGCCTTCATCAACGAAAAAGACCAGTAAACCGGAGAAGTTTTGGCGATAGGAAACTGCAAAGCGAACTGATCACTTTCTGGCAGCAAGCCAAGTCCTCTGA